GATTCTAAAATGCAAAGATATACAACTTAGCACAAATGTTAGAATCATGCAAGCCATTGTATTTCTTATTACCATGTATGGATGTGACAGCTAGACAGTTAAGAAAGATGATAGGAAGAAAATAACTCCTTTGAGGTGCTGGAGAAGAGTGTTGAGGATCCTGCGGTCAGCCAAAAAGACAAACAAATGGGTCCTAGAGCAGATCAAGCCAGAAACTTCCTTGGAAGCCAAGATGACCAAACTGAGGCTGTCATACTTCGGACACCTCATGAGAAGAGAAGACTCAGTAGAAAAGACAATAATGCTAGGGACGGTGGAGGGAAGTAGGAAGAGGAAGATCACATGCCAGATGGATCGCCTCTATTAAAGAGGTCATGAATATGGGTTTGCAGGATTTAAGCAGAGCAGTAGAGGACAGGGGATCTTGGAGATGTCTCATCCATAGGGTTGCCATGGGTTGAGATCAACTTGAGGGCAGTTGACAACAAAACTCTACCTATGAAGTAGGCATGAGATCTACAACATGATCTTAACAGTAGACACTGGAAAAGGTCCAGAGAGTCAGATCTTGAAGTATATTTTTCAAATGATGGGGTCCCAAGCCATTAAGAGCTTTAAATATCAAATCCAGCACTTTAAACCAGGTCTGGAAGCTTACCTGCCATCCAGAGCAACTGACTACAAAACTGAATATTGTAGCCCACATCAGCTGGCTACATTTTCTGTCAGCTTCAATAGTTTTCAAGGGCAGCCCCACACAAAGTACATTTTAGTGGTACATTCTGGAAATAATAATGGTTGGGTAATTGAGACCAGGTCTGACTGTTCCAGATATGGTCACAGCTGGTATATACACTGAACATTATGAAAATCAGTTGTTGGCTAAAGCCTCTACCAGTGATTCATCAGACAATGAGGAGTCCAGGAGCATCACAGACTTTAAAGCTGTTCCTTTATGGAGATTGTGGTCCCATGAAGAAATAGTTCTACATTATTGTCTAGATCTGCCACCTTCTCAGTCCGCTGAACTTTCTTTCTTGTCCAGATCAAGCTTTGGCTTGCTCTCCTTTATCCATGGATGGTCAAACTGTAGCATACACTTGCATATGAAAGCAAACAGGATTTTTAGCTCCCTGCAGTTAGATTAATTTTTTTTTTGGTTGAAAAGTAGTTGTGACCTCAAAAATTGTTAAATGTATTTTGCTCACAAGATACTATAGAAAAAGAGGAGGGAAACAGTGGTGGTGGTGGTGAGGGTGGAATCAGAACAGCAGACCAGATTAATAACTAACTTCTTCTTAAAACTACAGAGAGTGGAATCATTCGCATTTTAAAAACCATTAGTAGCCAAAGATAACACAAATAAGTTTGTTTTCCCATATTCTTACTTATAATCAGCTCATTGAAATGACATTGGAATCTGAAAGGTATTTAGTACAATACATTTTGTATTTTTTCTCTCCATCTCAGTATGCAGTTAAAATAAAACAACGCTCTATATCAAAGATGGAGAAAATGGCAGCAAAGGAAGAAAGGAAGGCCAAAATGGCTGAAACTAAACTAGAAGAAGATACACTGGCATTTGAGGAGTTTCTCAAAGAAAATGATAAAAGTTCTGTAGACGCCCTTAAACTGTAAGGGACTTTGTTACAAATTTCTTTTATTAACCATGGAACAGATTGATTGTCCTGCTGTGCTCACACACAATAATCGATACCTTCAGTCTTCCCACACACAAAAATCTACAAACTGCACAAGGAAGGAATCATGGCAGGAACTGAGAGGACCACATATGCATTTGTCTCCTACCTCATCCTTGTTGTATCTGTGACATGCACATTGCTACTCATGCTATATAAAGTATGATTTCATTGTATAGCATGTAGAAGTATAGTAATCATTTTAGTTTTGTTCAGACAGTTGCTTGAAAACATGTAAAGCTAAAATCTAGGACAGACATGTGAGTGCACATGTAGACCTACACCTCCATTTTTGTGAAGTCCTGGAAATAAGTTAGATTTTTGTGCATTGAGCAAAATGTAGTCACAAAGTTCCCATGACTGGGAACTTGGGGCCTCTACAGACTGGCGAAAAGCGCAGGCATCAGGGTTGAGTGGGTGTGTGGTGACTGCATGTACGCTGCATGCCCTGACTCTGCCCCGATGCCAGCGTCATGCTGCACACCCAACCAGATGGCAAAAGGTGTCATACCATTTCTTCAGCACAGCTTTTAGAAGCGCTGCACTGAAGAAACACTGAAAAGCTGCCACTGCCATGGCAAGAGCAGCTTTTTGACGTTCTAAAAAGGAACGGCATTTTGCTGCTCCTTTTTGGGCCAGCAAAATGCCAGATCAGGATCACGGCGTGTGGTTGATGCAGCCCTGATCTGGCGCTGAAAGGGGCAGCCTCAGTCTTACCAGCCCATGAATGATCTATAGCAGTTACAAAGCCCTCTTCAGACTTTCATGCTGAATAGGCAAAGGTCTACATTAGTTCTAGGTGCTGGGGAATATGGGACGTGGGTGAGGCTCACATGCAGGCTCCTTATAACAGTCCCTATAGTAGCAGCCCCAAGGAGAGATCAATAATGCAATCTTTTGTAAAGCTAGTGGGTCTTGCCTACTCCAGACCAGGACACTGCAACATAGTTTAAATTACAAGAAGTGATAGCTTAGAATAGATTGTTGCTAGAAAATCCATTTCTCCTTCCAACTACTGTAGAAATTGCAGCTAAGCTCAGAGAAAACAGGGGAGTGCAAGGGGATGGTGATGGTGTCTTAGGTCCTGTCTGCACTGGCAGGGGACAGCCTGGAGTATCCTGGTGCCAGAGCTTATTCGACCCCCTCCCCATTGCAAAGACGAAGGATTGCAAAGCTAATGCCCAATGGCTGATCACACGTGTCCTCTTGAGTTGCCTGATGCATCTGCTGTGGGTTACTTTGCTCTGAGGTCAAGACAAGGTACTCAGCCTCAATCACATGGCTAGTGATTTTATTGACTTAGAACACTGCTGGCTGTAGATATTATTGATGACCAGGAAATATTCCCAGACATGACTAACTTCTTTTCAGTGAGCCCTGAAAGCTTCTATTAAGTCTGTAGAGATTCTGACCTCAGACGAGCAACTGGTGGCAGCAGCGGACACTTCAAGTGGCAGAATGGGACATTTCAAAGAGTCACCCAAAATCAGAATGGAGGGCTTTAGATTTTCCAGGAAGATCCAGAGCAAAGGGTATTGTATTTAAAGCTGTGTTAAGGGTGCTAAGGCTCTGGTGCTGAATGGTCTGGCTGTTATCTAGTTTGTTCATACCAGAACCAGGGTGTGGGTCATGCATTGTCCGATCTCCTCACCAAGAGGACGGGAGGTTGAGGACACTTTATTTAGCCCAGGCAGACATGGCCATAGACTCTATTTCAAAAGTCTTAGGGCTTTAACTCTGCAAGTCCTAGCACAACAACAACAACAACAACAACAACAAATTTATTTATATCCCGCATCTCTGTAAAATACAACCAGGGCGGCTTACACAATAAAATCAACAACCCTGTCCCCCAATAGCCCCCACCCTTAAAATACAATTAAACAATCAAGATTATAAAGATACTTAAAATTAACAAACTACAACAAATAACCAGTAAAGTAAAATAACTGTAGCAGGAAACAGGGTCAGGCCTAACTTTTTCGGTGGCTGGTTATCTACACAGGAAAGGCCTGCCAGAAGAGATCCGTCTTAACAGCTTTTTAAAAGCTGTCTAAGGTGGTCAAGTGACAGATCTCATCTGGCAGGCCGTTCTATAGTCTGGGAGCAATAGCCGAAAAGGTCCTCTGGGCAGTTGCAGATAATCCAGTTTTTATAGGTAGCAATAAATTCTTCCCAGAGGTCCTCAGTGCACGGGGTGGATTATATGGAAGGAGGCGGTCCTGAATATAGGTTGGACCCAGCCATTTAGGACTTTAAAGGTGATGACCAACACCTTGTACTGCACCCGGAAACTGATAGGCAGCCAGTGAAGCGATCTTAGAATAGGTGTTATGTGGTCTCTTCTAGTTTTGCCTGAGACCAGCCTGGTCGTCCACAAGCCCACCCCCATTTTCAGCCTTACAGCATGTGTTTAGGCAAATGTCTGAGCAGAGGTAAGTCTAAATGCTGCTTCCCAGTGCCTTATTGAGCAATTGTAGGAGCAACCTGAACAAGCGACTGTACTTTGCACTCAACTGCTTCTAGTTTTTATCTAAAAAATTGAGGGTAGGGAGCCAGTGTGGTATAGTGGTTTGAGCACTGGACTCAAACTCTGGAGATCAGGGTTCGATTCCCACTGCCATGGAACCTCACTGAGTGACCTTGGAGGAGTCACACACTCTCAGTGTCAGAAAACCCTGTGACAGGGTAGCCGTAAGTTAGAAATGATTTGAAGGCACACAACAACAAGAAGTATGTTTAAAAGAAAAATACTGCATTGATACCATGAAAAAAAGCTCCTGTGCAGGATAAAGTGAATGTTTCGATTAAAAATTAAATGGGAGGAAGGCTTAGATCTCCTCATCCTTGTGTACTAGTTCCTGTTTTCACCAAATTTTAGCTCCTTGCCAATTATTTCAAGTATATTGTGCAGTTTGACCCTCTGGGGTTTGATTGTTAACACATTCTAGTGTGTTTCTGGTTGTTGTTGATTTGTGTGACATTTGTTTCACAGTTTCACAGTTTACATGTTATGCCAATAGTGCAGCCCAGGTAGCAACAGTTTATCACTATAGCAGATCAGTTTATTGACATATTTGTAATGCTCAAATGTTAAAATATTTGACAGAAATTGATCACAGCTAATAATAAAATCCCATAAAGTTGTGCACCTGTTTTCAGATTAGGTGAGAGGGGAAAAACTTTTTTAGATTAAGATCTGCCTATCTATACATACACAAACAGTTTTTAAGGACCATATTATTTTTAGGGCAACTCAAGAAGCAAAAGCTAAAATGGAAGTCATGGCAGAAGTCAAGTCAGCAATGAATGAGGTATTCTCTCTCAAGAGGTGAGCTCTTTATTTCACTTCTTTTGAAAAGCATGGTTTGCTTATGAGAAATAGATCCAGGTGTTAATGTTGATGGTTTTGCTTATGATTTAAAGGAAATAAATGCTTGAGTAGTGGCATTTACAATGCTTAAAATGTACAAAATTCAGCAATATTGTTAGGGGGGATCTAAAGTTTTTTGTGGGTTTTCCAGACTATGAGGCCATGTTCTAGAAGAATT